TATATATATATATATGTGTATATATGTGTATATGAAACTTGTCCCTGAGTTTTAGCTGTAGCCCTGTGCTACACGCTGATGTTCAGGTGTATTTTGTGCCTGATTATGGAGGTCTTTTTTAATGAGGCTCCATTAATGGATTTTATTTTCTCCACGACTCGGAGCAGTGGGGTCTGGCAGATGTGGCCAGGTAGGACTGGAGCTGCTGGTTCAGCTACACATGGAGTAAAATCTTCATGCTCACGTAGGCAGGACTTCAGTCGCTGGGAACCAGAAGTTGTTTTAGTATTGCCCTGCAAGGGCAAGGCTTTTCTAGCAGGGCTGGTATTTATTAGCAGTGGCTGGATGGTGTCGGTCGTGCTGTTTGCTGTGTAGCTTTTCATCTGTCAGTTCTGCTGGGGTTTTTTTTGTGGACTGTGTCATTAAAATCACTCTCAAAATCACCCCCCTTTCCCCTCTGTGTTTTCCAGGCGGCGAAGGGCAGAGTGGAGGTGGGCAGCGGACCGCGCCGCCATCGTCAGCCGCTGGAATTGGCTCCAGGCCCACGTCTCGGACCTGGAGTACCGAATCCGGCAGCAAACGGACATTTACAAGCAGATCAGAGCCAACAAGGTGAGGACCAGGAGCGCGCGTGGCTACGGCTGGTTTTGCTCCACCTCCCAATAACTCCCTTTTCTGACGCGGTGAGGAGTGCCTGTGCAAAGGCTGGTGCTTCCCCCCCCCTGCATCTCTCAAAAAGCATATTGCACAGTTGTGACTAACGGAAGTGCTATTTGGCATGGGCTGGGTGTAATTCTTTTCTCTGGTTCAATGTGGTAACGTGAAGAGAGCAGTCACTTAATTTAAAGTCAGTATTTGGGTATTGAACTAAACTGTGGCTTTAGCACTCGTGTTGCTGTTCTCTAGTCCAGTCTTTCTCTTTTTAATTTGATTTTTGGTTATTTTAAACCTTCCCATTCTTGCTTTCTGGGAGTAAGAGAAGGGACGAGGAGGTTTTCGAGGCTTGTTCAGACATGCACGTCTGAATGTCAGGCCTTGGAGGGATCAGTGTCCACAGCTTGTGGTGAGAAGGCTCGTGGTATTGCATCGCCTTAGAGATCCTCGGGAAGGCAGGGTCCTGCTAAGGCTTTTCCCAAAATTGGTGGGGAGAGAGGCTTCCAGGGGGTAGAAGGCACAGGCAGGGGAGGGAGACAGGGCTTTAATGCAGCTGTGTAGAAAAATGGAGTAATTGGGTGAGCGAGGGCTATAAATGACTAAGAGCGTGGCTTGCTGAAGGGAATGCATGGCTGAGGTTAGAGGGGACTGTACATCAAATTAATGAACCCGTTTCAGAAGGAATCGCCTGCCTTCTGCCTTAAGAAAGTCGATCGTGCAAGGTGGCTTTAAGTATACAATACAAGATAGCTAAACACTTATATGCTAAAAGTTGATGGATGCAATGAGAAACCTCACCTAAGGAAGTGGAAGATTCAGTGCTTTGTCCAGGCGATGACAACTCGACAGACTCGTGAGTGGCTCTGAGCACCCCCAGATGCTGAGGATTTGGCAGTGGTGATTCTGAACAAGAAAGCGGGTGTCAAATACCCCAGTTTTGTGGTAGGACCTCACGGACATCACCGCTTGCACCCGTTGTGTCGGTGTCATTGAGCTCAAGGAGGCCTCGTAAAACCCCTTCTGTTTTCATCACTGAAAAGCTCAGCGTAAGATCCATGGGAGAGCAGAGGAACGAGCACACGTTTTGGTAACGCAGGAGTCTTGTTGGAGTGGCTTTTTGGCTTCAGATTGTACAAGGACAACAGTTAAAGAATTTGGAGCCACCTTGTTTTTTCTATCAACAGAACTCCAGCTTGTTTGGCCCTAAGGAGGTTAAAACGTGGCCGCTGCAGGAATTCACAGTTGCAATTCTATTTTATTCCTTTTTTTAGGTTAATTATTATACGTTAAGGTTTACACCCAAGTGTCTCTCTCAAGAAAGATGCATTGCTTTGTCAAATGAAAGCAAGAGAAGGGCCAGGAAGTCCAAAATAACCTGTGTAGAAGCGGGTGTCTGGGCAGTAATGTTGTTTCCAGCACATTTGGGTCGGAGCCTCGAGATGCAGAGGAAAACAACGAATCAGCGAGCGGCTGTTCAAAGTTACTTGTAAAGTCCTGTGTTTGCTGCTGCTTAAAAATAGCTGCTGTGCCTTCGGTTTTGGGGTGGTTTTAGAGTGTGTACAGATAATTTGAGGGACTGGATGTCCAGGAAGGTAATGAGGCGGTTTTGTTTCTTCTCACAAATGTGCTTTGCTGGGTTGTTTTTAGCTGGGGTGTGGCAGGGTGCTGGTTCCCCCCACGCGGAGCCTTTGCACCTCCCTGTGTGTGGGTGGCAGATGCTCTGTGGTTGAAAGGAGCAGACTGCGTTTTTCCTCTCTTTTTGTGTCTCTGTATCTGTCTCTATGCGAGTCCTGCAGGGTTGACTTCTCATTAATACCATAATTAGTGATAAAAGTGGGAATAGAGAAGCAGCAAACTTGCCCGTAAATACTGGGGAGGGGGCTTCCTTTTTATTTTGAGGAAAAGCAAGTATTGGGTGACCTTGGAATAATTCACGTGTGCTGCTCCTTTCCCTTTGCTGAAAGGGAGCTGGAAATTTGATGTTGCCCTTCTAATTCCCCTCTATTATTCAGAAGTTTATAAATAACAGGGATTTAAAGCTCCCTTAGAAGCAAAGCAGAGCACTTGGTAGGAAGATGCCATCCAACCTGCAGGTCCATGTGTCCATAGGGGCTCTCTGGGGTGGGACCAGGGACATGAGGACCCAGTGCATGGGGGTTTGGGACCTGCAGGTCCATGTGTCCATAGGGGCTCTCTGGGATGGGAGCAGGGAGAGGAGGACCCAGTGCATGGGGGTTTGGGACCTGCAGCTTTTGTCTGGGGACACCAGAACCAAAGCTGTGACCGTCACAAGGCTGCGTTGCGCATTGCCTCTGCGTCAGCGGTAAAGGGACATATTTCTAAACAGATACCACAGTATAAAGAATTAATTACTGCTCCTAGGAAGGAGCAGCTCCCTTCATCCTCTCCCTTTAAACTGGAGGCAGACGTCCTTGGTGGCTGTGTCTGTCCCTGATGTCCGTGTGTCCCCATCTCATTCACTTGCTGGGCAAACAGGAAGCCCAGGCTCTTTCTGGGGTGCCAAAGGGAAGCAGTTTCCTTGGTTTCAGCATTGAATTCAGTCCCAGTTCCTCCCTTTCTCATGTCCAGTGTCTCCTGCACTCAACATCTGGAGGTGACCGCCCTCTTGGCTGCAGCCTGCCCGAGGATGTTTCCAGAAGCAGTGATGAAATGTGATGGGTCGCAGTCAGAGAGGGACCTTTCAGGAAAAGCCCAGCAGGATTTTAATGGAGCTGAGACTTCCAGCCCCCCCTGATCCACTGAACACCCTTCTGGGATGTCAGAAAACTCCAGAAAACCGTCATGGTGTTTATTCTAGGAGCTGGCTACTTCCTCATTGCCAGTCAGAGGCCACGTACAGTTGTATTTAGCTTATGAACTGTATTTAAATAGAGTATCCATGAACCATGGGCTGCCACTGGAGAGCCACCGATCCGTTGTGTGACTTGTTGTATCTTGTCTTTGCCCTGAACTATGCCCATGGCCTGAAGATCCCACCAACTGTCCAATCTCTTGCACATTTTAGCCTGCTTTGCTATAAAATAGCTTGGAAATATGCATCATTATAATGATTTTATTTTACTTGAGTGAAAAGGCAGCCCTGCCTTTCGAGTGAGCTCCACTTAGAGTAAAACATAAACAGGACAGCGTGTGTGAAGCCTGATAAAGCAGTGCTCTGCCACTGTGCTTTGTCCTGCTAGCTTTATAGCCATGGCTTGTTTATCAGCATTTCTCTTTGCTCATTGAATTTTGTGAATATTGCTGCTTTGAAAAAAGGATCTGCTCCGAGTAACAAGTCTGACTGCAGATTTTTGGCACCCGCTCAGAGCCGCTTGCTCGGCTGCGGTGGCGAAGCCGCGCTCGGTGCGACGAGAGCGGTCGCTTCCCGCGCCGCGCCACCGCAAGACGTTCGCTTGGGTTGCGCTGGCGCGGAGCTGCTGGCCTGCGAGAGGAGGGGAAGGCTGGGAAGCGGGGGCAGCAGCAGCGTTTGGGCACTTTGGCCCGAGAGGAAGCTCAGTGTTTGCTGTTAATGGGCTGGAGGGTTGGGATCTGGCTTCAGCCATCGGGAAAATCCAGGCAGCGGGGAATTCGGTTTGACACCGCATCTGCAAAACGCAGTGGAAACGCAAGTTGTGGTTTCTGGAGGATGGTGGATGGATGGATGGATGGATGGATGGATGGATGGATGGATGGATGTGCAGTGTTCCCTGCTGATCCCAAAGGACCTGCAGTTAATTCCTGTTCCCTTTGCTCTCTTGCAGGGGCTGATAGTGCTTGGGGAAGCATCACCGCCCGATGCTGCGGCAGACGCTGCGTCCCGTCCCGTTAGTGCTGACGTTAAGCTGGAGCCTGGGGCTGACCGGCTGGTAAGTGCCAGCAGCAGAAGCGACTGGGTCCAGATGCATCAGCTTTGTGAATTTTTGGGGTAGGGAAGGTCGGTCCTTCAAGCTGTGCTGGAGAGAGATGCTCGAACCACGGGTCTGGCACAGGACTTCACCTGGGAGCTGCTGCGCTGTGTAGCTCGCCCCCTCCCAGGTTATTTTGGGGTTAATAGAGGATTTAAACACCTTTCAGAGCAGAGTTCCTCAGGGTACCTTTGCAATATGCATTAGCATTTTGTGAAGCTTAAAAATCCCAACTAATCCTTTCCCTCTAGCAAAAAAAAAAAGGACCTCAAACCACGAGCGGCACAATTAGCAAAGGCTGCTAAAGATGCGGCTATTAATATCTGCCTGAGCGTTACCCCTTGGAAGGGGAACTAATGATTTCAGGGAGCTGCACTGGAAGCTGTGCGGAGTGCCAGATATTTATTATTTAATGCAGAAATGTAGGCCACAGACGAAAGGCTTGATCGCGCTGCTCAGCCGGGCTGTGATTACTTTTGATCCTGCGGGATGCGTCGACGTACTAAAATGCAGGGGTTTGAAGTGGTGGTGTAGTACGAGGGGCAGGGCGATCCCTGCGTGGCTCAAATCCTGTGGCCGAGCTGCAGCGCTGCTGCTTTTCTGTCCTGATGCCGCATTTTGGGAGAAACGGAGCCTCCCTGCAGTGGGAGCGCTTGAGTTGCGTAGAGCTGTACCCAAGGTAGTTTGTTCAGAGAAAAAACTTAAATAGGAGTGACTGTAAAATTGTAATGGAAGTGTTTTCTCCTCTCCACTGGCCAGACTTTGTCAAAGAGTTTTCCTGATGCTGAGCGGTAACATGAAATACTGTGACATTTTTGATTAACGCCGGCCCGCCAAGGCGCTGTTACAGGTGATCGTGGTAAAACAGCTCCTCGCTTGACACTGGCTTTCAGATACATGCTTGGGATTTAAGTCCTTAATTAGCAAATTAACCGAGCCCAAAACTCTGCCGTGTGATTGGGTAAAATACACAGGTTTTGGTGGTGGGTGAAGTAGTCGATGGGGCTTCAGATGCAAACAGAGCCGCGCTGGAGGAGCCGTAGGAGCCACGGGAGCCAGGGGCTGCTGCAGATGGGATTGAATCACGGGCATGACGCAGTGTCTGGATCCGAGCAGTGATGTCCGTCTGTCGTGTGCCCTCACCCCCCTTCTCGTGCTTTAACCCAAAACGCGCTCGGGGAATAATAAATAAGCGCAGTGACGGCGTGCTCCAATGCGCTCAGAAATAGCACGGCTCCTGCTCTGATGAATTAGCTCTTACTTGGGAGCTGATCTGTGAATAGCAGGAGAGAAAGGATCAAATTGAACAGTGATAGGAAGACTGTTGTCTTCCTTATCTGTTGAAATCGGGATGTTTATTTGACACAAGTATGTTTTCAGCCTGGAGTCTGCAGTTGGGAGGACTGTGTCCCCCTGACTCTGTCCCTGCACACTAAAGATGTTTTCCTTATTCTTAAAAATCATCATTTTTTGGATTGTCTTAGACATCACCTCTGTATGTAGGGAACAGAAGATTCCTGTGGATTTCTGATGTGTGGAAAACACTTCCTTGGGCCGTGCTGTCTGATTTCACCGCTCACAGCCATTGCTGTATTTATTCATTTCCTGCTTTGCCCCTTTCCTCACCCCTTTCACTTGGCTCCGAGCTCTTCAGACGGGGACTTTATTACTGCAGCACGATGGAGATCTCATCTCCCGCAGGTCCTGGAGGTAACAGAGACACAAAAACCAGACACAGAGCAGTGCAGAACAACATTTTCAGTGTAAAGCAGCTGCAGGTTCCTACTCGGTGCCTTCTTGTAGCTACTCCTGCGCCCGTCCTTGCCATTTTGGAGAGTAACTCCTCCCAAAATGGGCTTTTTACTGCCTTGCACATGTGGTAGCTGGTGGACACACACATCCCTCCACCAGAAACGCCGCCGCAGGGCACCCAACTCTGCACCCGCGCTGGAGGGTTGGTGTTTAATTAGGATTGCTCATTAGGGTGGGGTGCTGAGTCACGGCATGCATCAGAGATAGCCCAGAGACCATTCCTGTTGTGTTAGCACACTTACTGGAAGGGGGATCTGTCTCTCAGGCCTCTCCTGGAGAGCTGCTCATCATTTTGGCACTCTTTGGGCTGCTGAGAATTTGCCTTTTCCCCCCATTTTTTCTTTTTCCCCAGGCTGGCAGAGTAAGAGCCAGGTCCACAACGTGGAGTAAGGGGAGGACTCATCCCCTCTCATCCCCAACACTTCAGATCTCATCTCCACATGGGATACATGTCCTTGGGCATCGTCGTGATCTGTGGCCAGTGATCCTTAGGAGGAACTAATGCTGTCCTCCCAAGGGAAGGGCTTTGCAGAGGAGTCCTGGGATTGTCTGTTGGGATCTCTAGCTCAGTAAATATTAAAAATAACGTGAAGCCCTGAAGAAACAACTTGGCTGTTGCTATTGGTCCCTGACTTGTATTGCTGGTCCAGCACTTAACATTTTTCATAGTAAATAAGGAAACACATTGAATGGCGTGTCTTGGTAAGGCTTTTCCCTGCATTAGAGTTTGGAACTAGTAAGAGGTGAAGGTCTGGACCTGTCTGGTTTTGTTTGAAGTGTTTTGGGACATGCCAGCACACCGCCTCTTCGCTGCCATCTCAGCCCCTCGTAGTCCACAGGCTCTTGATTTCACGTGCCACAAGCAGAGGGGTCATCCCCTATTCCCATCTTGAACCAGAACCAGCTCTTGGAGAAGAGGTTCCTCCTTTAAGCCCCTTTCTGGAGAAGAAAATAAATGCCCTATTTCAAAAGAGCTCATGAGTCATGTGCAGCCGCCCTCCTGAACCGTGGGTGCCTCCTGCAGAGGCGTCATGTGAAGCTCGGCCGTGCCAAGCCTCTGGAAAGCAGAGGGAAAAGGTTCAGCTCCTGCACTGACTTCACCTTCCTGGGTGCTGCACTGTGCTTGCCCAACACTTCAGCTGCCATCGGATCCCATCCCTACGTCTGTGTGCTCAGCTCAGGTACCGGAGCTGATCCCATCGCTCTGATCCCATCTCTGCTCCCCCAGCCCAAGAGAAGGGTCCTTTTTTAGCAGAAGTGTAGAAAAGGCAGCAAAGTTCCTCAAACGGGCAGCAGGCAGAAGCATGTGTTGTCAGAAACGGCTCTTCCTTGGTGACTCAGGTCTCTGCTATGTTGGAAACTGTTAGTCCAGCACCGCCGCAGCCCGATTTTAATTGTTCCTTGGGTTGGGAGAGCGATTGCAGGGAGTATTTGAACTGATGCGCTGCTGATCTTTGGAGATGCAGGATGTGACGAGCAGGAGGCTGCTTGGAGATCTGTGGAGATAGGGCAGACCTTTGCTTTTGTCTCCTTTTTCCCCTAGTACTTGAAATAAATGCACCACCGCCCTTGCGTGCGCGAAGGGGGAAACCCAGCAAGAGAGGCACTGGCTTGGAGCATAGGAAGTGCTGCGTGAAGGGAAAAATGAGGTTTAACCCTGGGGAGGAGCATGGCTGAAAACAAAGTAAAAGGGCTGCGAGGATGGGACAAGGGTGATGAGTGCCGGGGTGTGAAGGAGGAGCAGGAACGGCGCTGGCAGGGGGTACAGACCCGGGCTGTCCTTGGACGCTGCGGTGACAGCGACCGCCCCCGTGCAGGACAAGTGCAGTGTCCAGTGCTGCAGTGACCACTGCTCGCTGCAGAGCAATGGGGTTGTGTTTGGGTTTAGGCAGAAGGGATTGGGTTTAATTTCCACTTTCCTCTGACAAAAGCAGTGTTTCCAGCTTTGTGTGTTTACCAAGCAGCTTTTCCTTCATAAAGTTGCCTCCTTATATTCAAACCCCACAGCTTGTGTGCGTGCTCACTTGAAATCCTTCTTAAAGCGCTGCTTTCGGGCCCTGTTTGCACAGATATTTTAGTTAAAACACAAACTGTGCAAGTCTGTTCCTCTCTCCTCCTGTTTCTCCCCAAACTGCTCGCGGCCGCCTGGCTTAGAGCACAGCATCCAACTTCAGAGGACGCCCGCGAGCTTTGCAGGTGCCTATGAACTGGATTGCACTGTAGAAACCAAGCAGTAAAATCTCCTCAAAAGACCTCAGCCTTTCATGCTCCCTATCGGTTGCCCGAGGGGAATTGAGGGCCTTTGTTTTGTCTGTCCTGTACCCATCCTTTTGCCACGACTGCTCCCCAAAAAAGTCCTTACATCTCCCATCTCCTGTGACTTCTGAACCCGTGTTTTGAAGTCCTGTGGGGAAGCCCGTGGCTACGGTGCAGAATCCTCAACCAGAAACTGGGAATAAGAAAGTTGTGGCTATTTAAGAAGCTTTTTAAAACTAATTTACGACCTTTCTCATCCTTCCTCAGAGCGTGTCTGGATCCCAGCCACTGGAGAACTTGGGTGTTTCTGCTGCAAATACTCCCGAATCCCATCCCGCCAAGCCCTGTGGAGCACCGAGACCCGTCAATGGAGTTATTAACACGTAAGCTGCTTGCTTATTATGGGGAGAGCTCGATTTTTTGTCATCTTGACAAAGTCCCGTTGGAAACCAGCCTGTAACACGCTGTAGTTGTAACTGCAGTGGTATAAATGGGTCTTTTTCTTGAAAAAAGGATGGTGGTAGATCACGCTTGGAAACATTTTGGAGGAGGTTGCTTGCTTGAGGTTTTCTGCTGCATTGTTTTGCTGAAAATGGTATTAAATGGAGCTGTGTTTACGTGACCGAGCCCTGCAGGCAACCGTGCATGTTCAAAGCTGTTTCTTCAGGGGTGTTTTTAATACACTTGCCAATCGTGTGATTCAAAGGTACGAGTGGCCAGCTTGCAATTATTTTATGAAGTATGTGTAACCACCGCCCTGCTTTTCTGGGCATACCGAGGAACTCAAATCTCACTGATTTTTGGGGAGTGAGACTTTGGAAATTCTTTATTTCTCCAGGCTGGTTTTGTTGAGAAAGTCTTTAAGTGGGGAAATGAAAACAAGCCCAAGAAATGCTCTTATGCTATGGGATGATTTTAGGGTTGAACCACTCAAAAACCCTTGACCACGGTGCTTCAAAGGTCTGGAAGTGGCTGGAGAAGCATTTCCAGCACCGTTGCACTTGCTTGGACCTTGAGGAGGGAGCGATGCTGCAGCGATGCAGGCGTGGAAAGCGGCGATGGACGTAACTCATTGCTACGGCTGAAACACTGCAGGCTTTAACAGAGCCTTTGTGTGCCCGTAGCCTTGGAACTGCACAGCCTGACACCACAGGGCTTTCATGTTTGGCATTTTTAGAAACGAACCACTTGTAAAATAGAGATGAAAAGGGTTCTGTAGATGAGGAGCCCTCTGGTTTTTGGTAGGTGGCGTTGGGGTATTGATGCCATGGTAGGGCAGGGTTACTGCGTGTGGGCAGGAAACTCCTCTGTACGTCAACCAGAGAGGTTAATGGTAACGTTGGGAGAGCTGTTAGAGGTGTAGTTCCTCAAGTATTAATCAAAATCAAGTTTATATCTAGGTTAAATATTTTTTTCCTAGGAATTACACATTCTCTGGCATTTAGACTGGTGAGAACCTGTTGTGTTGAGATCCCTGAACTGTAATTCTGGGGGAAGCCAAACTCTAGGATTAAAGCTGTTGAGGGCCTCAGAGAGGCTTTTGGTCTTGCCCTGTGTCCAGCTTTACGTGCTATTTTCTGTTCAGAACTTGCAGAGGTACATTGTCAGAGGGTCAGCGGTGAGAGAGTGTGGGAAGTGACCAAAGTAAAAGCAAAAATTAGAGCTGGCTTTCTAAAAAGCTCTCGCTTGGTGAAACTGCAGTGCTTTAAACTCAGCTTAGCGTGTTTGCTAGGGTCTGAATGGTGAACCTGGCTGGCACAACGCGGCACAGTTGAGTAAATAATGATATCTTTCTTCTTTCCCTCTCTCCTTGGGCAGTCTTCAGCCCGGCCTGGCAGAACATGCTCAGGGAGATGGCCAGGAAGCTGAGGAGCTCTTGCATAAAAAGCAACGCCTGAACGTGGTTTCTTCGTCTGCGGACGGATCGTGTGTAGCAGCTCGCACGCGCCCGGTACTGAGCTGTAAGAAGCGACGGCTTGTTCGACCGAGCAGCATTATGCCCCTTTCCAAAAAGGTGAGTGCTCTCTGGGTTTTGGAGAAAGGATACACAGAATTCAGTTCAGCAGAAACGCAGTTCAATCCTTGTGTAAGGAAAGGTTTTGCTTCATGCTTTTTAAATTCTCTTAGGAATGCCATAAAGATAGAGAGTTAGAAATTGAGGGAATAAGGACTTTTTTGTGCCTGCAGCTCTCATGATTGCAGAGCCATCGATGGCAAAAATCCACTTCCCTTTGAGTCAGAGTGCTTCGAGTCAAACTTCACCACAAGGGTTTGGGGGTTTTCACTCTGCAGGTGCTGGAGCTTTAAAGAGAAGCTCAAAAAGCAACATTTTTCTGAGCAAAACAGGTTCTCACTCAGCAGAGTGAGCTTTAACTGATGACTCTGAGCTGGGGTGTTACTGGTCAACCTCTGCAGTGACTGCTTGCGAGATCTTCAGTGATTGGAAGTTTATGAGCTATCCCGTAGGTGATGCTGAGTTGTGTACTCACTGTTTGAAGAAACGCCGTTAAGTCTGTGTTAGTTACTGACCCTGTTCTCAAAATGCATTTGATAATCAGAGATGGTTCAGGAGAGCAGTTCCAAAGGATGGAAGATGTGCTGGATGGCAGAGGATTTCTGTGGACTCCTCCAGTTATTCAAGAGAAAGCTGAGCGATGGCTCGGTTCTCATGGTCGTGGTCCAGAAATACCATGTCCAGTTGCCCAAACTGGTTGTGGATTGCTGAGACCAGAAATTACAACCAGGAGAGTTCACTGTTCAAATAGAGATCGTCCATAACTGTGCCTGCTGTTTTACAAAGTCTGAATACAGCGTCACTTGAAATTTTTAGGTTAGGAGATGTCTTTTAGGAAGGAAAAGTGGCTCAAAGGTTGAGTGGGTCTGTATCTTGCACTGGGTTGGAAACAGGACTGCTCTTGTGGACCAGGATGGGAGGGGAACTCCTGCAGCCCCCCGTGCCCCAGAGCAGACTGCTTTACCCTCGCACCGTGCTGGTTTGTCCACACCTCCTTAGGGCAGCTCGAGTGCTTGGCTGGTCTTGTGTTCCAGACAGCACAACCAAACAAATCAAACTTTCAAACAGCAGCTGCCTTGGCTGCATTTAAAGTCATTACCTGGTGTAAACTGGTCAGCTCCTCTCCTCGTTTCAGAAGCACCCCCTAAAGTGTGAAAGGTGATGGGATCATTCTTAACGTGGTCACCTCTACACCAATGGGTCTTTCTGCTTTTGCACGTAGGACACATTTTTTTGGGGTCTTGTAATTTTTGTGGTGTTTTCCACTCTGTTGGGTGCACACGTTTCATGAAATAGGTGCCCAAAGCTGGGTGCAGCCCTCCAGCTCACACGTTAGCGATGCCGAGTGGAGCGGCAGGATTACCTCACGCGTCTTGCCCGGCCGTCCTGTTTATAAAGCCCCGTGGGGTGTTAATTCCCAGTCATGGTACGGCGCTGCTGACTCATGCTCGTTTGCTGATCCATAACAACCACCAGATCCTCTGGGCACAACTGCTCAGTTACCTCTTCCTCCTCCTCGCTGCTCACTGAAGTGCCTCCTTGTTGCATTTGCCCTCAGTGAATTCAATTTGATATATTTTAGATAATTTCCAGCTCTTTCCTTCAAGGTACCTGCAGCCCTTCCCAGTTCTAGTGTTATTTGCTAAGGCTTAAGGATGTAATTTTTGCCATCACTCAAGCCGTTAATGGAGATTTTCTGGATCATACAGGACTCAGAATTCAGTGTCCCTCGGTTTTGGCAGGGAGTCACAGGGTGCTGTCTCTGTATGGGATTTACATCCAGTTGTGCATCTGCCTACAGTGGTTTCATATAGATCACATCTATATAAAGTCTGGAAATCTGTGAATTGAAAGTCTGTGCTGGTTTAAGAAACAGGGTTGAAAACCACCCTTTTTCATTCTGTAAGTGTCAGCTCTTGGTGTATAGCGACGGCTCTCTGACCCATCTGATCTCAAAAAGTTCCCCTCCCTAACAACTGAATTGCGCTGCCTCATGGTTTTTATAAATGAGGTTTCATCCTAGATAAAATTAAACCCTTTTAGTCAAATTTAGGAGATGTTAAACTGTCCGTGCTGGTGAGTAGTAGGTTGCAGTTGTGTTTATGCAAAGTGAGAGCTTCCTTTTATGAGTCCAGACTAAACAGGTTTTATATGGGGCGCATAGAAAAGAAAAATTAGGATTTCTTTCTTGAGCTGTCAAAGGGGAATGTGTGTGTGTGTATATATATATATGTATATATAGACATTATTCTCTGTTCCCTTTCCAGGTCCATCGCAACAGCCTGGTGCGGTGTAGCTGTGACGTGAACCCTTCGTGTGCTCTGTGCGGCACTCGGAGCTCAACGACTCTGGAAATCCAGTACGATGCCCCTTTGCTGGAGCGCCTCTCCCAGCTGGACTCCTGTATTCATCCTGTCCTCTCATTCCCAGATGGTAAGCACAGCATCCGGGGCTGCTGTCAAACTGGAGCCTGAGGTGGGTTACCAGGGATGCTTGGGCGTGCTCCGGAGCCTGCTCCTCCATCCTGGGCTTCCTGAGGAGGTGCAGATGTGCGTGGTTGCGACCAAGCTTGTTCATCTGCAAGTAATTTGTGGCCAAGAAGGCCAATGGCATCCTGCGGTGTATCAGGAGGGGGGTGGCTGTAGGTCAAGAGAGGTTCTCCTCCCCCTCTACTCTGCCCTGGTGAGACCGCATCTGGAATATTGTGTCCAGTTCTGGGCCCTCAGTTCAAGAAGGACAGGAACTGCTGGAGAGAGTCCAGCGTAGGGCTACAAAGATGATGGAGGGAGTGGAGCATCTCCCTTCTGAGGAGCGGCTGAGGGAGCTGGGACTCTTTAGTTTGCAGAAGAGGAGACTGAGGGGAGACCTCATTCATGGTTATAAATATTTAAAGGGTGAGTGTCACGAGGATGGAGCCAGGCTCTTCTCGGTGACAAACAATGATAGGACAAGGGGTAACGGACACAAACTGGAACACAGGAGGTTCCACTTCAATTGGAGAAGAAACTTCTTCTCAGTGAGGGTGACAGAGCCCTGGCCCAGGCTGCCCAGAGAGGTTGTGGAGTCTCCTTCTCTGCAGACATTCAAAACCCGCCTGGACGCCTTCCTGTGCAACCTCATCTGGGTGTTCCTGCTCCGGCAGGGGGATTGGACTGGGTGAGCTTTGGAGGTCCCTTCCAATCCCTAACGGTCTGGGATTCTGTGATTCTGTGAATTTTGGGAGCAAAGCATTTACTGGAGTGGAAAGCGTTGTACCTGAGGTCTGTGAACTTGTTGGTGATGGGAACGTGGAGAAACCGTGCCCAGGAGTCTGCACTGGGACCTGGGTCTGTGCTGTTAGAAACCACTCAAGAAATCTTTGCTCCCACAGAGTTTATTCACCTGCATGAAATGATCTGTGGATGGGTTTAAGTCACAGGAAATGGTTTTGACCTTGTAAGGAGCTGTAAATGATCTTCCACGGTTCAGAGGGGGCAGTAAGGAGGGATGTTCCCATTAAGGCACTCGTTTCCCTGTGTTACGGTATCAGGGTTAATCATCACTAAGAGGAATACCTAACCAGCCCTGACGGGGGTATTCACAGATGTGGAGGGACTTTTCCCAAGGGAAAAGAAGGAGTTTCCAGAGTCTTTTGCTGCCTGAGCTGCCAAATTTAATGCAAGCCTGTTCTTTGACCAAAAATTATCACTGCTTGAGGTGTAAAACACCCCTGGTCATGCTGGGAGAAAGGTGTGTAACCCCTCTTCTTGTGAGGATGTGAAGTGGTTGGTCCCCATGTGTGGTTTTGGGTGAAAATTCCAGCTTTGCACAGACTTTGTGCAACAGTAGAAAGTGCACGGAGTGTCTAGGAACAATTAATCAGGCATCTTTCATTAGCACTATATTTAAACCAGACTAAAATAGTAAATTGGTGCTATTTTTAAAAACTAATTCCCCCCCATCAGACACATCTCTGCTGGGGCATGCTGAAGGAGCTTGATGCACTCAGCTCCTGAACCAGAACTTCATTTCCTGATTCCCCAGCACCTGTAATCGTCTGTGTTAAATGTATTAAATGTAATATCCTAGGACGTGGGGAGAAAACCCCTTGTGGACATGGGCAGCAGGCAAATTCCCCCATCCCATGTCCGCTTCCCATTTCCTTAGGGTCACCTGCAGCCAGTTCATGTGGTAAAAGGTCTGTTCTGGCTGCGTGAGATTAAAACCTGTGTTTTTTAAGCATTACACTGTACAGTTTTAAATTCCTCTACAGAAACACCCATTCCCTGCCTCCTCCTTTAGGTAAACTTTGATTATTCGCTAAAGTCGCTTTGCTAGGGTTGCTCTTTGAGGACGGAGATGCTTTTGTACCCGAACATAAACCAGGCAGCACGTTCAGGAGGGGATGTTGAGGGGTCTCCCACCTATGAGCCTGACTCCAGGTTGCTGTTGGTGCCACCGGGGTTGTTTTGGGGAGCTCCAGAATGGTTTTTGGAAGCCACCAGGCTGTGTGGGTGGGCAGGGGCTCGGGTAGGACTGCTGGTGCTGTTGGATGGAGCCGTGAGCGTGTGCTGGCTTCCACTTTGAGCTGCTCTCTCCTTGCTCTGGCAGCCGGGGATCTCCAGCGCCGTTTGCCAAGGGCAAAACTGCTCAGCGCAGCGGGAGGAGAAAAGATCATTTAATTTTCTGGCGCGGGCATCGCGGCTTTTAACCCGTTGCATTTGTGCTTGGTGAGCGCTTTGTCCCCTTCCTTTCAGGTTGGTTTTTTTTTTTGGTTTTCTTTTCTGTTGTTTTTTCTTCTGCTTGATGCGATTTCTCGCTGGGAATTTTCGGATGATGTAATAACCCTGGTGGGGAGGAGGAGAGCCGGGGCGCTCGGGCTCCGTGCGGTTGCCATCTGCCGGTCCCCGGGAGGGCTGCACCGAGCAGGAGCAGGAGGAGGAGGAGGAGGAGGAGGAGGAATAACGGTGTCACCGACTCCGGTGCAACCAGTGCAGAGAGCAGGGCACTGGCAAATCAGCAAATAACTCCTTTTCTGCTGACAACGTTGTGCCGTGCGTTTTTCCCCTCCTTCCACAGACGCGTGGGCTGCTGGGGTGGGAGGAATTTTCAGGATTCAGCAAAAAATTGCCAGAGAAGAGAGCGTTTTCCCAAAGTCAGACCACTTCAGCGCAGTGACGTTCGCTGGCAAGGTCCTGGCTTGGCCCCTCTCTCTTTTTGGGGACGCATCTCCACAAACCAGCGGCAGTGGCTGAATTGCTGCCATGGCACTGATGGCCCTTCCTTAGCAAACATGGGGCCCAACCAGAGCTTTCACCATCGGGGGACTTGAAATGCTGCTTTCCTGACCTGTTTCTGTGGGTGAAGTCCCCCCCTGTTAACAACAGCCCCTGGGATCTGCTGGGGCTTTCCAGTCCCTGGGCCTGGTGGGGAAATTATGGAGGGATTCATCCCAGCTCAGGGTGGCTTCAGAGTCCCTGTGACAACACCATGTGAGCTTGAGAGACCTGGGGGAAGGACGTTTACACCACAGATGCTCATCAGTGCTTTTAACTCGTGGTTGTAGCAGCGTGAGCCTGCACTGGGCTGCGTGTCCTGCTTGTACCAGGCTACTGGTCCATACTGGAGGAGGAGAGCAGGTGGGTGGCACATCCCACCACGAATGCTGGGGTATAATGATCTTATTTAGGGAAGGTAAATTCATGCCTCTCCTGTTAACCCTGAAGGTTTTAATGCTTATCTGAACGAGGATTTTGGCCCTCAGGTGTATGAGAGCGCTGGGTCTTGGAGGAGAATTCGCAGTTTTTGGTGATCACCTCTGAAGTGTGAAGCTCTGAGTATGAAAGGAGGGTTTATCCGTGGGATTCCTGCAGCTGGAGTAGTTTGCTACTCCATTAATGGTTTTTATAGTCTACCATAGCCTATCTGCACAAGAAATACACTGAATAATCTCATTAGTGGCCTGGTTTTTGGCTAAGGTCAGGAGTACATGTTGGTGTGGGATTTGGGAGAAGCCAAGCTTGAGGAACGAAAGCAGCGTGTGCTGAATTTCACAGCGGTGCAATGTACTGGTGCTGGTTGTGACACAGGATCAAACAGGGACAGGAACCAGGATTAAACAGGGACAGGTACTCTGGATTACCATGATCAGGGCACAGGATTCAGGCTCGAAATACAGCAGTTACCCAGGTAATTACCCATGATTTTGACTGCTCCTGGGGAGCTCCCAGCTCTTCTGCATTTGGAGCTGCTTAGGTGCACTCACACAGCTTTTGCTGGAGGGCTGAGGTGCCACATCAGCCACATTGACATCGTACAGTGCTTGCTTGGCTTTCAGCTTGACCCGAAATGAAGGATTTAGGCTGGATTTCTCTCTTGCAGCCCGTACCTCTATAGATTTGATGTGCTGAGGTACCTCAGGTTGTTGGAAGTCGGGTCTGAGACAGCAGAACTGAGCGTGGCAGTACCTGAGATACCTTCAGTGGTAAAGACATGTGGGTTTTCTGGCAAAGGCTTCATTCTCCTGCCAGGATGTGCTCGGACTGTGAATGGGCTGGGAATGTCCTTTTCCCAAAGAGCTTCCGAGCAGAAACCTTGGGTTCCTCCCTGAACGTGAGGAGCGTGTAGGCAAGCCTGGGATTTACAGCCAGTGTCCATATGGTTGTTGAGGGCTGTTCTTTTTGGGGGACCGGGAGAGGATTTTGGTGTGTGATGTAAATTCACTTGCTGTGTTCTGTATCCCCCTGCAGATGTGCCGACGAGCCTGCACTTCCAGAGCATGTTGAAATCTCAGTGGCAGAACAAACCCTACGAGAAAATCAAACCTCCCAAAAAGCTCTCGCTCAAGCACAGAGCCCCCCTGCCCACCAGCAGCCTGTCTGACCCTGCTCGCAAGGACCGCCACAAGCTGGTGAACTCCTTCTTCACCGCAGCCAGTAAGTGTCCTTCCTGTGTCCAAAAACTGGGGTTTTATACCCAACAGCCGTGCGATCTGAGAGGAGGAGGAGGAGGAGGAGGAGGAGGATACCCTTCACATGCAGCTCTTGGGGATGGATGAGGCTGAAGGTGAAGCGTGTGCAGGTTGTGGAGCTCAGGCTGGTCTCGGTTCGTAGGGACCTCTTGATCCATTCAAGGCTGTGCTCGGGCTGGCACGGGCAGAGCTGCAGCTCCTCCTGCTGCGAGCACAGCTCTGCAGCGCCCCGACCCCGACCTGTCTGGATTTGTGGAGCTGGTCAACTCTGCCCGAGTCTCCTGCGCCAGCAGAAAGAGAGGTGAAAACAGGCGTTTCATAGCTCTTTCTCTGTTCCCCTCCTCAGAGCGCTCACATCAAAAAATCCAACCAGACAAGGCACACAGGCCGCCTTTAGACGATTTTACGGCCGTGTCCAAGGCCGAGAGAGCGCCAGAGCGCTCGCTTGTCCAGCCTCCCGCCCATGACAAAAAGCGATTGCGAGACTGCGCGTCTGAGAGGAGTGAAGGTAGGCTCCCAGCGCCAGGCCTCTCGGGGGGAGCTTGGGCTTTGCTGCATATTCAGCCTCTCTGCCCCTCCTTCGGCCTCAGAGGAGGGGGAACGCGCTGCTTGTGGGCCCGGTCGCCACCGCATCGTGTGCTCTAACCGCTTCTTCCCCAGGGCCTCCCGAGCTGCCGGCCGCCGTCGGAAGGTGCTTCTCTTTCCTGCAAAGTCCTCCTCGGCACTGGCTGTTTCCTGGTGCACGTGGTCCTTTCCTGTCCACCGCCGATGGCCTTTGAGGGTTTGGGTTTTTTTTGCTAATGTCACTCTTCATTTTCTCCCCCCGCCCTCCTTGTGCAGTGTTGAAACATCACACGGATGTCGGTGGCCCGAGCTACTTGTCGGCAGCTGCGACCCCAACACCTCACAGCCCCATCGCGCGGCAACTGTCCACCTCCTCGGAGGGCTCTGCTCCCGCCAGCGCGAGCTCGCAGGGCACCGCCAGCGCGGCCGTAAGTACCTGGTGCCTTTCAGGAGGGGTTCCTGAGCTCAGCTCCACCACAAGCACTCAGCTTTCGACTCATTCAGGCATCATTGCCCTGGTGAGACCACATTTGGAACATTGTGTCCAGTTGTGGGCCCTCAGGTCAAGGACAGGAACTGCTTGAAAGAGTCCAGCAGGGCCACAAAGTGATGCTGGAGGGAGTGGAGCATCTCCTGCTGAGGAGCGGCTGAGGGAGCTGGGGCTCTTGAGCTTGGAGCAGAGGAGACTGAGGGGTGCCCTCATTCCTGGGGATCCATTGGGAAAGGGCAGTGTCAGGAGGAAGGAGCCAGGCTCTGCTCTGGGATGGCCAATGCCAGGACAAGGGGCAATGGTCCCAAGCTGGAGCACAGGAGGTTCAAGCTGAAGATGAGGCCAAAGTTTGTGAGTGTGAGGGTTATGGAGCATGGCCCAGGCTGCCCAGAGAGGTTGTGGAGTCTCCTTGTGTGGAGACACCCAAAGCCCTGGCCGTGTTCCTGGGTGATCTCTGGGTGACCCTGCCCTGGGTGATCTCCCAGCCCCACTGTTCTGTGGTTCTCTGGTTCTCGCTGCTATGGCAACAGTCACCAATCCTGTGTGTCCTCACAAGCTCCACACGCACCCTGGCTCTGACGGGCAGGGCCCTGGTCCTCGGGTTCTCCTGTGTTTTTACACTGCACGACACAAGGATCAGAGACAGAGAACATGGTAAATTGTGGGTGATGCCGTTAGGACAGCGGGGCTGTTTGTGTGTCCATGAGGATTTGTGTCCCTGTACCAGCAGTGCTGCTGTCACAGGTTTGGGGGAGGTTTTTGGGTAAACAGATGGTAGGAGCACCCAGCGTTCAACCAGGTTTAAATAGATGAGTGTGGAGCCTGTTTCTGTCTGAGAAAAATCGATTCCAGTCAGAAGTGTGATACAGATGGAGGCTCTTAGCACCACTGTCAAAACCTGAGGTGAACTCCTGTCTGGCTGCTTCACGTCCCTCCCTGTCACGGTGTAGCCTGTGGGGCCACGGGCAGGGAAGCGGTTTCCAAACAGGCTGGTGGTTCCCTTTTTGTCATGTTCTCCCTGCCTTCTTTACACTGGGAATTGGATTATATGGGAAACTTCTCATTTTGCTGGGTCAGTTCCTTACCTGGATCCATCTCCTGATCCACTTCTTGTGCATGAGCAAACCCCCAGCCATTTCTCACGTTGTTCTTGTCCCTGTGTTGCAGCAGCCAAGGAGGAGGAGAGGCGAGAGCTCGTTCGATATTAACAACATCGTCATCCCGATGTCCGTTGCTGCGACGACCCGAGTGGAGAAGCTGCAGTACAAGGAGATCCTCACGCCCAGGTACGTGCCTGGTCCCCGGCTCTGCTGGGGTTGTCACGTCCCATTTTGCTGTGCAAAAACGTCCTGTCAGGAGCCCAGCCTGGCCTGGGGCTTTGCTCCCAGTGGCTGCTCATGCTGGTGAGGAAAGGGACTTTGTCTTCCTTGAAAGTAGGAGGAAGTTTGGAAAACTTGTGATCATACCATTGATGGAGATTTGGTGAGGTAGGGAATGTGTTGTCTGAGTTGTGCATGGAAGCCAGCCGCCCTGGTCAGGTCTTTTCTGCCATGTGAAGTCATCCTGGTTTTCCTCTGTCCTGCTGCGAAGCTGCTGAGTGCATTGAGTGCTGATTTCCCAGCTCTGGGTTCCCTTCTCCAGGCTGTGCAGTGGGTGCCTGGGCTGGGTCAGCGCTGCAGGGCAGGAGGGGCACTGCTGGGGTCATGGCCAGGAGGAGCCCCCCAGGCCTGGGGGTGGCAGGAATCAGAATCATGGAATCACTTGGGTCGGAAAAGGCCTTTAAGGTCATGGAGTCCAACTGTTATCCAGCCCTGCCACCTCCACCACCAAACCATGGCCCTCAGCACCTCATCTTTGAAACCCCTCCAGGGATGGGGACTCCCCCACTGCCCTGGGCAGCCCCTTCCAGGCCCTGATCACCCTTTGGGGAAGAAATTTCCCTTCAGATCCAACCTCACCCTCCCCTGCCACAACTTGAGGCCATTTCTTCTCATCCCATCGCTTGTAATGGGGAGCAGAGCCCGACCCCCCTCGCTACCCCCTCCTTTCAGGAGCTGCAGAGGGGATGAGGTCTCCCCTCAGCACCTCTTCTCCAGTTGAACCCCCAGCTCCCTCATTGCTCCCCAGCATTCGGCTGCTCCAGACCCCTCCCCAGCTCCGTTCCCCTTCTCTGCCCATGCTCCAGCCCCTCAATGTCCTTCTGGGAGTCAGGAACCCAAAACTGACCCCAGGATTTGAGGTGCAGCCTCAAACGCCAACTTCCTGCACCTTCTTCATCCAAACCACCCGGTTCCCAGTCCTTTTCCCTCCCAGTTTTCCAGGTCTCTTTCCCCACTTCCCTCTTTCCTCCTCCTGGTCCCGTGTGCTTTTCCCTGCTCAGAGCAGAGCCTTTTGCTGAGAGGAGGAAGAGGAGGAAACGCTGCAGCATCTGCTCTGCTTCCTCTGCCCTGGGCAGGGCAGCAGGAGGGAAGGGCTGCATGGGAGGGCACTGGTGGCCGTTCCTGACCCTCCCAATGTGGGGGACGTCTCCTGCCTGCGCCCGCTGCCCCTGCAGAAAGATACACCCAAAATCATAGAGCGGTTTTGGTTGGGAAAGACCTTTGAGATCATCAAGTCCAACCAGCACAATGGAGCAGGCTAAGAGGGAAGGGGAGAAACCATTGGTAGAGGGATTTTTGGTAGGCAGATGTGGCCACAAGTCAGCGTCAGGGTGTGCAGGTCCCGTGCCCTGTGGGTGACCACCCCGTGTGCTGTGTTGCAGCTGGCGTGAGGTGGACGTCGGCGCTCTGAAGGCGACCCCTGATGAAGACAACGAGGAGGTAAGGGGGGTTTTATTCCCGAGCTGATGTGGGCTGGGGTTGGCAGCAGCTGAGCAGCGTCCATGGAGGATGCTGGATGGGTTGGGATGCAGGAGGGTGTGGAGTGTCTTCCTTTGTCAGAGCAAAACGGCACTGTTGGCCTTGCAGAAAGCAGCCTGGTGTGGGGTCCCTTTGAGGAGGGGTGTGATGGGGCACAGGTTGGGTTAAATGGCCGGGCACAGCTGAAGCTGGCGGCTGATTGCTGCCAGGAGCCTTTTTACGGCACAGTCTCATAAATCCTGCCCAGTCACACCACTCAGTTATTATTTCAGCTGGACTGATAAGGGTGGTATTTCCTGAAGCCTGTGTGAGCGCTTTCAGTGGAAATCAAGTGGTTTTTCCTTTGGCTTTTAGTTTTCAGCCTCTTCCCAAGCAATGCAGACGCAGTTCAGTGCAGTGCTCTCGCGCTCACTGGTGGCATCAGCCTTCTTTCAGACACAAGCATTAATTGAAACTCATGCTGTAGCTAATGCTGGGAAAACCACACTTGGATGTGTGTTGAATATGAGAAAGCTCTGACCAAACCCCTTCCCCCTTCCCTTTGCAGATCGAGGACTTGTCTGATTCGGCCTTCACCGCTCGGCACGGCAAATGTGAGGAGATGGAGCGGGCCCGGTGGCTCTGGAGCACCAGCGTCCCCCCGCAGCGGCGGGGCAGCAGGTACGGCTGGGGGGCAGGTCCTTGGTGCCAGCAGGGGCTGTCCCAGCAGCACTGGGGTGCCAAGGGGGGTTCCTCTTGGCCAGGGTGTTTGGGCTGAGCCAGCAATGTGCCCTTGAGCCAAGAAGGCCAACACCATCCTGGGCTGGATGAGAAGGGGTGGT